ACCGACATACACAACACTACCCAGACACCTTAACAATTAAGGTTTTGGTGAATCCATTTAGTTCATTTGGTGTAAGTACAAATAATTAAAAACCTGCAATTTATCGTCTATGCGCAGGGATTTGATCAGTGAGGCGTGGGGCATGAAGTTGACAGCACAATTGAGTCGTTTCAGATGGTCCGACATACTCGTGTGTTGGAGAGGCTGGTTCAATAAACCCACCGTGTTTGAACAGAGTCTCCTCCTGGGTTCCTTGTGTCCAAGCGTGGAGAGCAAGAAGATCACGCCAGAGAACTGTCGGTTTTTATTTTGTTAATTATTGTTGACCACCACCACTGTGCCCAAGAGGACGATCACGGCCAGGAAAAACCGAGGCACAGTGGGCGCGGGTCACTCAACAAATACGACGCAATTTGGAAATATATCGAGACACCTGGGGTATCTGATTGGTCAGCTCAGAACTGCGAGTCCTTCTTGTACTAGGATGTCAGAACATTAATTACAGCAAAAAAAATAACTTTTGCAGCTTATGGTATTCAAATAGTTATAATCTATTTAGAACTTATTTTATTAATTAAAACAAGTTAGTGGAATGAAATAACTATCACTTTATGTACAGAATAATGAGCAATAGTGTCCATGCCTTACCCTTTGTGTGAACAACAGTAATTGGTTATCCTGTGATCAGCATCTGCAAAATAAATGAAGCATTTCTGCCATCGGCGCCAGGCTACCAACAAAGATAAGCACAATGCAAGGATCGTTTTTGATAGAGTGCTTGTCAAACAAGGACTTCTTAGAGTACTTTCCACGCACGATAAAGCGTAATTGAGATGAACATTTTACATTTGTAGTAACTGACTCAGAGACACTAAGAGTTGGAGGCACTCTGGTTTATTAACACGGCCTGATAGTAACACTTAGTAACTAAAGTTCCCAGTCAGGACAGCTGGTAGACTGCCTGACTGGCAATGCCGAGATGGTGACAGAGACGACGGTGATGACTCCAGCAGCACGACGGGATCCTACTCCAAACTACAGCTCCGAGGTCCCCTCCCGGGGCCCCTCTTATACTGTCAGTGTGGCCTGGCTCCGCCTCCAGCCATGCCCCCCTTCTGGAACCTACTAGCGGGTTCTCAATGTGCCCCTTCCGTAACCTTTCCCCTATATCCATCTCTGGTCTATCACGTGACCTGCCGTCAGGGCTGCTATGAGTTGCAAAGCCCTTTGCCTGCCAACAGCCAGCGCTATGCTGCTATGTGACCGATTCTATGTCACTACACATTTAAAAATGGGTTACAATAGCTGAAAAGACTTGATTTTAAAAACCTGGTAGTGATGTACGCCGTGTTGCACGCAAACGATTACTATCAACCTATTTCAGTATTAAGCGCATTTCTACTTGTCCATCAGGGGGAACGTACGTGTATACTAAGTCAGACCTGGTTCCAGTTCCTCTCGGATTGGGAGGCAGAGCTGCTGTGTGTGGGGGGGGGGGGGGGCACCATTATAGGGATACACACCGCTAGGGAGATTGGACTCGGGTGAACTTTTGGTGGAGCAGGCCCACTAAAGTGGACCTTTAGCCCCAGCAAGCCCTTTGTTACAGGCTGACCTTCCCTCCTATTATACTGGTAACATGGCAAAGTTGGCCCCAACTGCTCCCACCTTCATCTGTCACTGACACTAGAAATACTTTGCCATACACCACTATCTTTCACAAGCCTGGATGAGTCTACAGCCATTAATCTCTTACATGAGCAGCAGTGCTGGCCCAGATGCAACGCTCCATTAATCAATTCATTGATTAATATAATTTCTTGATTTGCGATACGGGTATCTATTTGTATTTGTGTATACAGGTTCATGTGACCATCCAGCTATATGGACCAAATTGTTTAAACATAGAAAATATATTTGAATTCAATAAAAAATTTGAAATCGCAATGGGCTACTCATGACACCTTTAACTCCGGCACTTCTCTCATGACCTCTGCCAGAATCTTCTGACCTCTACTTACACAAGTGTTCCCAGCCAGGCTATAGTCGCCAATTCAAAAGCCTGTTGCAGTTAACAAATACTACGCAATTTAGAGATGTATTGAGACACCTGGAGTGTCTAATTGGTCAGATCAGAACTGTGAGTCGTTCTTGTACTAGTGTAGTGACATAGAATGGGTCACTACGGCGGGTAGCACCTGTTTCTGACAGTGAAGGACATTTGAGGATACAGTGGCCGGTCTGCCAGTAGGTCATGTGATAGGCACGGATGTAGTGTAAAGGTGACAGAGGACACGTGGGGCAGAGCCCATAACCTTCTGGTAGCTTCCAGAAGGGGGTGTGGCCAAGGGCGGAGCCAGGCCATGCTGGGGAGGATAAAAGGTAGGCCCCAACACTGGGTCGGGGCTGCTGCGATTTAGGAATGGAACCTGTCTTCACAAGTCTTCGTTCCCGTCTTCACCTCCTCGTCAGTGTTGGGTCAGGCAGTGTGCCGGCTGTCCTGACCCGTATATAGTTATCCCCAATACTGTGGAAAGTGTATAATAAACGTGTATGCCTTCTACTATTAGTGTTTCTGAAGTGACTCACTATCCTCGGATGCCAGAACATTAATTACAGCAAAAAATAAACTTTGACAACTAATGGTATTCAAAAATTCATTGAGTAGAGTCAACTGTTGTCATTCATTCATTGAGTAGCGTCAGCTGTTGTCATTTATTCATTGAGTAGAGTCAGCTGTTGTCATTCATTCATTGAGTAGAGTCAGCAGTTGTCATTCATTCATTAAGTAGCGTCAGCTGTTGTAATTCATACAATGATTAGTCAGCTGTTGTCATTCATTCATTGAGTAGAGTCAGCTGTTGTCATTCATTTATTGAGTAGAGTCAGCTGTTATCATTCATTGAGTAGAGGCAGCTGTTGTCATTCATTCATTGAGTAGTCAGCTGTTGTCATTCATTCATTGTTTAGCGTCAGCTGTTGTAATTCATTGAGTAGTCAGCTGTTGTCACTCATTCATTGAGTAGCGTCAGCTGTTGTCATTCATTCATTGAGTAGTCAGCTGTTGTCATTCATTCATTGAGTAGCGTCAGCTGTTGTCATTCATTCATTGAGTAGAGTCAGCTGTTGTCATTCATTCATTGAGTAGAGTCAGCTGTTGTCATTCCTTCATTGAGTAGCGTCAGCTGTTGTATTTATTTAGTCAGCTGTAGTCATTTTATTCACGGCGCGTCTTTATTCTGATTGTCTTATGTACTGACTTGCCTCTTATGCACAAGAATAGAGTGACACCGTGTGGTTAGCTCGCACCTCCTGAGGCTAACAAGAACCATACCTGCTCGACTATTTTTCCCCCAGTGCTGATTTTGAATATACCGTGCCAGTGACGAATTTAGGCTTAATCGACCGAACCGGAACAAGTCAAGTGTACACGTCTTCAGGAAAAATTCTGATAAGTTTGTTTTGCATATGCACAGATACTGCTTTTTACACATGCTTGTGTTTAAAGTTCAGGTTTGACGTGTCAATTGGCTATTTGTACATTGTCAAGAGTTGAGTTAAGTCACTGGGCTTATGGTGTATGCCAGACATTAATACAGACGACTTATAAAGTTATTCTCCGTGTTGCCCACACAGGCTGTTGTATGTACGCATGTACATATGGAGGGGTAATCGGCACTCACCACTCTTGGGCTGGTAGCTCCCCCTTCTCGTCAATAGGGGGCGGAAGCGCTACCACGCCAGTGTTAATGACCACAGCCCAAAAAGGGGCCAACGACAATCCCTAGGAAACGGATCCTGGGACATATTCCCCGGGAGGGGGGACCGGGGGATGATGTCACCTTCCAGAAAGTTCTGGAAGGGAGGCGTGGCTAGGGCGGAGCAAGCCACGAACCAGTATATAAGCCGGACCTCTCAAGTGTCTGGCTCAGTCATCTCCAAGCCAAAGACCGAAGACCTGGGCTGAAGCTAGGACCCTGGACCTCAAGCTCCGTTGTCCTTCTAAGGGCCGGAGTTCAGCGAGGCCAGTGGTCGGGGAAGGATAGGTCCCTGGAGGATGGGACCCTGGAACCCAAAGCTCCGTTATCCTTCTAAGGGCCGGAGCTCAGTGAGGCCAGTGGTCAGGACCCGAGGACCCGGTACGGTCGGGTCAGCATAGCCTCCCCTAGGGCCCCAGCCGGAGGACGAAGGTTAACGGGGTTCCCAGTGATAGTGCCCGTATAGTCCGGAGGCCATACCTCCCCAGGTATCGGGTAAAGGTGGCCGCTATACCCCATTGTGTTAGGGACCTTGTAGAAAAGCCAAATAAATATCGTATTGCCTCACCAGAAGTTCTCGGTCAATTTATACCCACTGCACATACAACACCGTACGTCGCCAACCGTGCTAATCAGAGGTGCAAGTGCTGTTAGAGAGCACCAATGTATGGGTAGCATGGTTCACAAGGGGGCGATGTAGCCAGCCTCCTCATTGCCGATGAACGAGACAGACGTAAGCACAGGTTATATTTACACACTGAACGAAACAGGTACTCATTTAATGCTGAGTCGACCCAAGTTTGGATATTCGTAACTGATGTTGGCTGTGAGTGGGAATAAAACTCCGTTAGGCGGTTTCACAGCACAGATCATGCAATAGTTAGTGCACAAAACTAGCTCCCAGTTTAGGAATATAACGGATGGTTCAATGTGCTTACGACAACCATAAATGTTACACAATGCGTGCAACATAGAATTAATGATTGATTACACCACCACATTTGTCACCACGATATAACATTTTATGTCACGATGACAGTAATTAACGTCAAGTTTTATTACACCATAAACATCCCATTATTGTGAGTATCGTTCCATATTTACTTTAATACTCTAGAAAAACATGAAATATTTAACTTAGTGAGCAAGCTGGTTTTGGAATGGATTTTCCACCGCTTATCACATACATGTTATCAATCAGACTTTAAAAAGAGAAACGATTATGTAATACGTCTAGATTTAACTAATAAAAAATATATTTAATTCAAAGGAATTTTAAGTCATCCAAATTCTCTCAGGCAACAAGATACATTTTCACCAAAGCAATTCAAATCAAAATTACAATATATTTTCCAAATTCCAATATTATTACAGCAATAAATGAATAAACATATGAAGTATTAGTGACCCAAAATTTGCTGATAAAAGAGTAAATGAAAGGGATAATCAAAATTATTGAATAACTTCACAAAATCTACGAAAAGTTCCACTTAATGTAAATGAGTAAAACAAAATTAGACTTAGCCAGGGCATATCGCCAAAAAAGTTGGTCGCTGATGTGAACGAGACTGGTGATGGAAATGCCGCCAAATAAGAGAATGTCCCCAAGATTACGACCATTGTGGAGGTGGAACAATGAGATCCGTTCATGTGCAGAACTGAGCTGACTTGCGGCATAAAAACCGAGAGTGGTGGCATGTGGAGCCTTCATCTACCAGTGGACAGACTATAAGTGATGATCATTGTTGACAAATAAGACCCCAAAGAATAAACTGGAAATTTGTTTTCACAGCCTTATGATGCTCAAAATAACAAGCAAATAACTGAAACATTAAGGTAAACTCCTAGAAGTGCATGAGGATGTTAAGAAAACATTTTCAGGCAGTTGCATGAAATATATTATAACTTATCTGCCTTTGCAAGTATTCAAAGAGACTGAAGTGTCATCCTTCATCATTGTAATTCACTCCCTGGTACTTTTTAGAGTTTAACTTCTGATCACAGAGATTACTTTTACCACGAGTTTCAAATGCATCTGATATCAAAAGGCAATACCATGTCAAGAATCAGCAAAAAATAGGCATCTTAGACAGATATAACATGCCTATCCATAATAATAATAATAACTACTTCGATAATAAAGAGGGACTGCTATGCACACAGCCACAATCCATACGAGGCCCAATGTGGTTCCGGCGATATTGAGGTTCCTGGCGATTATCGAACTTTCCAGTGCTCCATGCGCATCACCTCTAGTCCATTTGTCTTGCACCTACAAGAAAAAAAGAGATCCATTAGGGTGCACAAGGTTTTTTTTATCCTCTTACATAATGATATAGAATAAATTAATATTATACTCAGAAAAACCTAGTTTAGAGACTCCTTTTTATAAGAGTCCTGCTTGTGTTGTTTGGACAATTCTTTCTGAGTATTTTACCAGTGCCCATAAAAAACGGCAATGCATGTGGAAGAACACAAACACTTGATAAAGACTATATCATCAACATACTTGTGTGGTGATGATCTATTCAGGCACTTAATAACACCTGCATTTAGGTGTTTTGTGCATGGTCAGTAACAATCCTCCATGATTTACCATTCTCTCAAAATTGCTGGATTTAAAGTATGCTCCACAACACTCAAGCAATGGATATTTCACGCAAAATTGAGCTGCATTTGCTCTTGACATGAATACAATTTTCCATTTCTGAATACGATAGGACATTTGATTAAAGTTTGGGATGATGTAATTGTCTATTGCATCTCAGAAGAGCTCTTATTACAGATAGTGGGCTAAATTAACATTTTAGTTCTGCGGAGACGTAACAAAATACTTCTATCAAAGAGATATTCGCACAAAAAAACCACAGGGCTATCAGCTGGACCCCACACACAGGTGAAATGTGCGTGTTCAATTGGATGACATTTGTGTGAAAATACTATATTACAGAATTTATATTCAAACCGCCACAGTGTGTCTCTGGAGCTCACTGGGCTGCATAAACGTGTCTCTCTGGGTAATACATTTGGGTTTCGAACCCCCTGAGCCCATGGGAATTGGTATTTCTGAAGACGGTAAACTACTCACCATCGTAGAAAACACCAGTGCAGGGATGCCGATCGGCCAGCACAAGCAAAGGCAGGTGAATATGGACCAGCCCAGATAGCTCTGTGGTGCAATGCTGACAAACGTTTGAGGCTGTTGTTGTTGTTGTTGCTGCTGCTGCTGCTGCATAACGACCATCTGAGGCCCTTGAACAGGTTGCGGGTAAGCAGACATTGGCATGGGGTAATTGGGGGGCACAGGGGATGGATATGTAGAGCCTTCATTTTTCGCGCCCGATATGGTGTAGGGAGGAAGGGGTTGGGACCACCCAGAATTGTCCGGTCCGTGCATTCTTGTCTTGTTCACCTGGAGGACTGGTGGCCTTTCAACACAACACAGAAAGAACATATACATTTTGAGGTGGCTATTCATGTAAATATTGCTTTTTATTTATAGTTATGGTTAAGGTTACTTAAGTCATTACGGCCAATACAGATCATGCCACTAAAAAAACACCATCATCTTACAACCTGTACACTTGCCACATCCACTCTAAACCCAGTCTTCATTATACCCAAACATAAGGCCATTTTTCAATCTGAAAACTATTTGATCAATCAGCCTTCTGAGGGGAAACATGTCAAGGCACATTTAAGTACTTACATAACCTCTGACCAATTTTCGAATGCCATTATCTCATCAGCGATTTATGCAAAATTGTATAGAAACGTTTTTCATTAATCTACAGGGACCTCTATCTAGTGCGAAACAGTAGATTTATACAAACATCAGTATATGCGCTGTTGTTAAGGATTATGGACCAATACACTAGCACATTTCTCTACATTTCAATTCGTCAATGGGCTTTCTCGACAGATGTTTTGAGGAGCATTTCTCTAATCATACAAAATTTGATTTGGTTTCGCATTCAGTCACATAAGCAAGCTAAGCAAACGCTGATGTGTTTCCAGATGTTATAGGCAAGTGTTACCCGCCAACACATAATGAGCCAATAGGAACTATTGTACAAAAACTAAACATTTATTGTTGGATTGCTCATAGAAGGGGTCAACGGTAATAGTGAAAAGAAGTTGGGTCCTGTGTCATCTCCTTCATCGGATGGCTGGATTTGGAGAATGCTCATTTCCTGGTGCCTGTATAGAGGTGTACAGGCACTGTGCATTGCGAATGACGCACGGGCAACCCTTTGTACATGCCCGAGGTAAAAATGTATTCCTAAGTTACTGCAAGTAGCTATCTTCGAAGTACGAATAATACCTTATTCTTCTCTAAATTTTGATATTATTTGTACTGTTATGATTCTCGGAAGCAGTGTTTAATTGAGGGCAACCATGAAGATGGCAATTAAATAAAAGTGGACATTAAAATTATTTTTTTACTTTTTTTTTATTTTACAAGGTAAGGCCCACTGAGCTATATAATTCTTTTTCATAAGCGACCTGGCCACAAATGATAGCTCAACGAAGTGGCTCACCATGTGGAAATGTATAGCAGCCATTAATGAGGATCAGACCTAGCTCTGGCTCCGGCTCCTCTAGCATTCGGGTGGGTGGGCCACCATAAAAGTCATTCACCACTCGGGAGAGTGAACTCGGGTGGGCCAAAGTGATATTTCGTGGCTCAGGGCCAACCCCAGCAGCCCACTAGCACCAACTCTAATGAGGATTATTAAAAAGAGCAAGTCATAATTGAACCATCTTTTGCCGTTGGATTTCACACCTGATGCTGATTGCTTGTGTTGCAGTCGAAACGTCTTGATAATTTTATTGTTTTATATATTTTTTTATTATTTTATTATTTCCCTTCTACGTGACTTTACCGAAAGAACCAAGAATATGAACCATCTTGTTTTTGTGCATTGATGTAAGTAAAGTACGAATAGAGGTGACTTGAAAGCTCTTTAACTGCAATTCACTGAACACAAGTCTGCTGTAAGACTTCTAATCTTTCTAACTTTGCAACTAGCATGCAGTCACAATAAAGCATTACTTATAATTCAATGAACAACGAAAATGATTAATTCATATTCTTGCAATGCCATAAATAAGCCCGAATATACAGGGTGACAGCATTTTACTTCTAATTTTGATCAACGTATTTTTGTTACGTTGTAAATATTTCGTCAGAAATTTTAATATAAAAAAATATACGATCCAAGGTGATCATATAAATATATTTTGGAAAGCAGACAATACAATTATGGCAGACCTTGTATTGCACAAGCAGGCAATAGGGTATTCTTAAATGTTTCTTTCAGAAAAAGCTATATATAGATACATGTTGTGTATCTGCCCATATGGCTGAAAACTAGTCGGCATAGAGTTAATAATTACTCACTGCAACTGAAGGGGCACCTACGAATTACAATCACCACCATGTGGTGATTTATTCGGGTTAATCTTGTGTTCATATGAGCATTGTTATAAAACAGGGGTGTTTAATTAGTTACATTAAAAAACATGTTTGCCACAAAGATGATCTTATTACATCAGCAAAGGTCGTTTACCATAAGGGTAAGTCTTACCTTTCTAAAAGAGAAATCAGATTGGGTGCAACGCAATTGTGTAAAATATCAATATTGGGAACTCTAATTTGCCCATTTATTTTCCATAAAATTATCATCAAAACCCTCGTATCGAGCAGTGGTTTGCTTGCTTGGATAATCTAAATTAGTTGTATGTATAATAGTTGTCAAAAACATGCAGAGTCATTTAAATAAAGTGTCATCATTACAATCTCTCAAAACTGCAAATTGATAGATTGGGAATCTAGGGAAGCACTCCATCTGCCAAACTCGACTGCCAAAAAGCCACAATACTTGAAAATTAAACACTGATCTAAAAAAGGGTTGCGTGTGGATAAGGGGGTGAAATGTTGAACACAGAGAGTTGACCATTTACTGGAAATCTATGTTGACCTTACCCTCTTTTTTCGTGTCCTTGAATTGTGTTTGAAAACACTTTTTGTAGAAAGTAGTTTTTATATAACGATCCCATCAATACTTTAATAACATACATTATATTTTAAACAACCAGTAACATATCTAACTAACTCAATAAATAAATAGGTCATGGTGGAGATGCACATGGGGAAGCGTGCACAAAGACTAAGGTAAAATAACATTCATCTCTAATTCAATGTTGTGTTCCAGAATCGGCCTGCCTAAGGGTCTTGTGAACTTAGGGTCTAATGAAAGAAATGTCTGGGTGTGTAAATGCTGTCTTGAGAATTACAGGCATTATAGTGCCAAACTACCCAGCCACATCTATTAAGGACCGATTTATTAACCAAAATAATTTACACAAACACCTTCTCTCATTGTGTTTATTGAATAAGAAACGATTCAAACTGAGTATGATTTCTAATCAGGTACATATAATGTAATTTCACTGCTGCCAAATGAATATAAATGACAATAAAAACGCCCATTAGAAAGATAAACGTGAGTGATGAGTAATTGTTAATAATGAATACGAATGTAAATGTGAAACAACGTTAAAGGGTTTTGAAAAATATAAAAGCTCAATATAGTAGGAAAGAACTGCGAGCAATGAGGGTAAAACTATGCACAATGCAGAGCGAGAAACCCTGCCTAGGTGGAGTACATGAATACCTTATAAAATATTTGAAATGACTAACATGTCGATTGAAAGCTTTCGTGACTGCAAGGATGTGTAGGCTTTCACTTTAACATAGCTATTTCTGTGACCAGTCACAAGCTAATCACTCAGCTATTTCAATGCTAAATTCTCCTGTTTGATTTGTACTAGGTGCCTCTGTGGATGTGTAGGCTTTGACTTTAACATAGCTATTTCTATGACCAGTCACAAGCTAATCACTCAGTTATTTCAATGCTAAATTCTCCTGTTTGATTTGTACTAGGTGCCTCTGTGGATGTGCAGGCTTTGACTTTAACATAGCCATTTCTGTGACCAGTCACAAGCTAATCACTCAGCTATTTCAATGTTAAATTCTCCTGTTTGATTTGTACTAGGTGCCTCTGTGGATGTGTAAACTTTGACTTTAACATAGCTATTTCTATGACCAGTCAAAAGCTAATCACTCAGCTATTTCAATGCTAAATTCTCCTGTTTGAATATGTAAAACCCTTTGTCAAGGTGCCTCACTTCTCTAAACCAGCTTAAAAAACGCTACGAATCTTAACAACGTTCATTGAAGCTCTGTCGTCCCGACAGGTCTGTTCCTTTCACCTGAAGAAGGCCACTTGTGTTGTGGCCGAAACGTCGTGATAATTTTATTGTGTTATTTTATTTTATTCATTTATTATTTTATTCTCATTCTACGTGACTTTACCGAAAGAACCAAAGAAGATGACTAACATGTATCTTGCTTAACATTGTATTTGTAAAATAACTGACTATTCCTTTGTTCCAAAAAAATACAAAACGTTGCTTATGACAAGTGAGTGTTCAAGACAGACAGCCGAGATATCACAACCCTAAAAACATGCACTCCTTACCTGCAATTGCAACTTGTTCAGCCTTGTTCAGAATGAAGTAAGTCAGAGCATGCACAGAATGTATATTTCCCCAAGTCTTACTGTCTGTAAAGTAGTTGCAACTTTTACATAAGAGGAACTGGAAACAGCGTTTGAACTAGTTGTTATCAGCATTTCTAGTTTCGGCTGTATAAGGATGTATTGGGTATCTGTGTGTAAAGTAGTTGCAACTTTTACATAAGAGGAACTGGAAACAGCGTTTGAACTAGTTGTTATCAGCATTTCTATTTTCGGCTGTATAAGGATGTATTGGGTATCTCGATGTTTGCATGCCATTTGCACTGTTTATTTTTTTAAATAGGTTTGCATTTCCATTCCCTTCCTTGTCCCCAGAGCATGGCTTCCTTATCCACTACATCAGTTTCCAAGTTTGAAAAACGTATCAACGATTTATCTGAATAGGTTTAGAAAATCAGGAATGGAATTCTGATGGGTAACTCTTCTATTACTAATGCATGTGTTCGTCTGTATTCCCAGGCCTCCATCTAATTCGGTACTATTCCTTTAGCTCTTAAAACTCAAAACTCATGTTTCCACTCTCCTGCAAAAAACACACACACACTGGATCCCAACAGCATTAGACATTCCCATCCACTCTCAAGCCTCAATTTCCGCTGAAAAATCATAGAGAGGGTTATCGTCTCCCACCCCTCTGAAAATAACTCCCACAATTTGTCCCAATAACCCAGTACAATATGGTATCCACTTAGGTCCCTGCTCTTGTATGTGCTGTGACTTTCTTCGCTCCTCACTGTGTGGCTTACACTCCTAATTCTCATAAAACTTGCTGCTGCTTTTGACACCACAGAACACTCCATACTCCGTGAGCACCTCCGTAACTTTGTGGGCACCTCCGGCACATTTCAATGCTTGTTAAACTCTAACCTTATATTCTTAGTTTTTTCGGTAAAGTCACGTTGAAGGGAAACAACAAAATAATAAAATATATATAAAACAATTAAAAATTCTCACGACGTTTCGACCATAACTCAAACGGTCATCTTCAGGTGTGTTGGTTTGCATAAATTTATTTTTAAACGGCGCATTTATTTAAAAAAATCAGACTTATACGCACCGAACTAGATCAGTTAGACAAGACACTCTACAAATCACACTTATCATTGACGGCAACAATGTCCACATCGGATTGGGAACATGTAGACATATGTCGACCAAATGTAAGGAAAACCTTATTTCCAAATTTAACCTCCTCTTCAACAAAAGACCGGACCCACACACCAAAAAGTTAGACGTTAACAAAGTCGTAATTAATCGCAGTAACAGTTCTATTTCCTATGGTCTGAAATCCGTTTTAGCTAAAGGTCTAAACTTTGCAGTCACACCTAAACACATACCAGTTAATGATATAATTGCCCAAGTAGACGTTGCTCTCAGGGGCCTGGGTCACATCGCTGCAGACGTAGCAAGATCTGAAATCGCTGCAACCCTCAAAAACGCTAAGATGCCAGCTAGCAACCTCAGCAAAGATGAGCGTTGTGAATTATATAAATTAAAAAAGAGGAATGATATTGTAGTCCTCTCAGCTGACAAAGGCAATGCTACTGTCATCATGGATAAAATAGAATACAACAACAAAATTAAAGAATTACTCGACGATGGTAGTTATACAAAAATAAAAAGAGATCCCACCAACAGCCTCATCACACAAACCAACAAAATAATTTCTGATTCAACCACATTAATTGATCAATCTAAACAGTTTTCGTTGAAACCTTCTGCTGCCAGGCCACCAAGATTACCAAAATACATAAAGTAGATACACCCCTTCGTCCCATAGTCTCTACTATCGGGTCCCCCACCTACAAACTAGCTCGTTTTGTGTCTGAAATCCTGCGTCCTTTCACTGGAAAGACCACCTCTGCGGTACAAAATTCTACTCACCTGGTATCGACAATCAAGGGTATTTCCCTGTCCCCAGACGACCTGCTTGTCAGTTTTGATGTAGTTTCCTTATTCACCAAGGTTCCTGTACCTGACACCATCGCAATCATTGAAGACTTGGTTTATCAAGGACTAAACACTGATGTACCCCCCCTGGTGAGACACTGTTTAACCAATACATACTTCACTTGGAATGGAACTTTCTACAAACAAACTGAGGGCACCCCAATGGGCTCCCCCCTTTATCCAGTTATAGCTAACATTTTCATGGAGAAATTTGAGACTGACGCCATCCAGACTGCCACTCTGCGCCCAACCTTATGGAAGAGGTACGTGGATGACACTTTTGTCATCTGGCCACATGGCCGGCCTGCTCTAGACCAATTCTTCGACCACATCAATTCCATACACCCAGCCATCAGATTTACCATGGAAGTCGAAATAGGTGGCAAGATACCTTTTTTGGATGTCCTAATTAAAAAGAGACCTGATGGTTCAATGAGCCACTCTGTCTACAGGAAAGCTACCCATACGGATGCTTATCTGAAACCGGATTCCCACCACCATCCATCACAGAAGAATTCTCTCATCAAGACTCTGTATCATAGAGCCCAATGCATATCCGACCAGGAACACATAAGCAGTGAACTCAAGCACGTACACCAAGCTCTTAGGGCTAATGGTTACTCCGACTATACAATCCGCAAAGCTATCACTCAAACCATGAAGAAGAACCCTCTTGAGGAGCCTTTCAAAACCATCACTTTACCCTACATTGCGGGGATCACAAAAAAGATCTCCAAAATCTTGAATAAACACAAGATTCAGGTCCGTTTCAACACATTACATAAAATCCGTGATCTGGTTCCGTCTGTAAAAGATGTGATTCCGGACATACAATACCCTGGTGTCTACAAACTAAGTTGCCTCTGTGGTAGTAGTTACATTGGAGAAACCAAACGCCATGTCTCGGACCGCATTCGTGAACACAAAGCAGACCTTAAACACGGTAGGACCAACACCTCGGCCGCGGCAGATCACTGTTCTAATTCAGTAGGCTCACATGCCATTGACTTTTCCAAGACAGAGGTTCTTTGTAAGCCATCTGGCTTCCATGAGAGATTCGTTCATGAGGCTATCCACATATACAAGCACAGAGACAATTTCAACCGAGAAGATGGATTCTATCTTAGCAATCATTGGAAATATTTGATAAACCATTTCAAGTCTTAATTGATTGTTCATGCTTACAGTGGCTTTCAGACAGCATACATTATAAAAAACTTCGTCTCCCCCCTCCTCTTTTCAGAATATAGATGGACTAGTCCTAAATAAACTGCCAAATCGTTGCACGTGGCGCTAACGTTTTTTATAAATAAATAAATGCGCCGTTTAAAAATCAATTTATGCAAACCAACACACCTGAAGATGACCGTTTGAGTTATGGTCGAAACGTCGTGAGAATTTTTTATTGTTTTATATATATTTTATTATTTTGTTGTTTCCGTTCAACGTGACTTCACCGAAAAAACTAAGAATATGAATTACTGCAGTCACGAAAGCTTTAAATCAAAACTCTAACCTCTCAAACTGTCCATATAAGGACTGTATTCCTCTGAGAAACTCTTGTGCTGTCGTGTTCTGGGGATGTTCTCAACATATATTCTTATACTCTTTGGTTCTTTCAGTAAAGTCACGTAGGTAGAAAAATAATTGATCACGATGTTTCGATTGCAACACAAGCAATCGTCATCAGGTGGGACAACCACAGCAAGAAAAAACTGCTGAAGTAGGCGAGAAATCTGCCGTGGCACGAGGTTATATAGTAGGCCTCGGCAGTAGGGGGAGAGAGAGAAGGGGGGAGGAAGGAGGCGGGGCAGATAGTGGACCCCGCAGCAGCACTGGAGAGATCGGCTGCAGGGGGGGAGAGAGAGGGGGGGGCAGAGAGTGGACCCCGCAGCAGCACCCGAGTCACTGGAGTAGAGATCGGAGAGAGATGCACAGAGAGAGAGAGAAAGACACACAGAGAGTCGGAAATAACAGCTGACATAGGCAGGTAGAATGGAAACATCACAGTCAGTTAAGACTTTAACTGGTTAATAACGTCCTTCCAATGATTGCTCAGTTTGTACCCATCTTCTCGGTTGAAGTTGTGTTTGTGTTTATATATTTGGTTGGCTTCATGAACAAATCTCTGATAATAGCCGGTGGGTTTGCAGAGTACCTTCGTCTTGGAAAAGTCAATTTCATGAGCCCATTGCGTTAAAACAATGATCAGCAACGGCAGAGGTATTGGTCCTACCGTGTTTCAGATCTGCCTTGTGTTCGCGAACGCGGTCCGAGACATGTCGTTTCGTTTCCCCAATGTAACTGCTGCTGCAGCCACAACTCAGTTTGTAGACACCCGAGTATTGCATATCAGGATTACATCCTTTACAAATGGGATCAAATCACGGATTTTGTGTACTGTGTTGAAACGACCTGGATCTTGTGTTTGTTTAAGATTTTGGAAATCTTTTTGGTAACCCCTGCTATGTATGGTAAAGTGATGGTTTTGGTTGGATTCTCAGATGGTTGTCTCCCCATGGCTGGGGAGACAGCTTTGTGGATTGTATGGTCAGAATATCCATTCATCCTGAGGGCTTGGTGAACGTACTCCAGATCACTGGCTAGGTGATGCTGGTCGGAGATGCAACGGGTCCTATGGTGTAGTGTTTTGATGAGGGAATTCTTCTGGGCTGGATGGTGGTGGGAGTCAGGCTTTACATAGGCATCCGTGTGGGTGGCTTTCCTGTAGACAGAGTGTCCCAACGAGCCATCAAGTCTCTTCTCGATCAAAACATCCAGGAATGGTAGCTTGCCATCATTTTCCACTTCCATGGTGAATTTGATAGATGGGTGTATGGAATTGATGTGGTTGAGAAATTGGTTCAGTGCTGGAAGGCCATGTGGCCAGATGACGAACATGTCATCTACATATCTCTTCTACAAGGAAGGACGTAGGGTAGATGTCTGGATGGCATCTGTCTCAAATTTCTCCATGAAAACATTCGCTACTACTGGCGATAAGGGAGAACCCATTGGGGTACCCTCATTTTGTTTGTAGAATGTACCATCCCAGGTGAAGTAAGTGTTGGTAAGGCAGTGCCTTACCAAAGTTGGTACATCTGGATTCAGTCCCTGTTGGACCAAATCTTCAATGATTGCAATGGTGAACAGGGAGACTACATCAAAACTGACAAGTAAATAATCTGGAGACAGTGAGATGTCCTTGATTAGAGAAACCAAGTGAGCTGAGTTAAGTACAGCTGAGGTGGTCTTGCCCGTGAAAGGAAGCAGGGTCTCAGACAGAAAACGGGCCAGTTTGTAGGTGGGTGAGTTAATGGTGGAGACGCTAGGACGGAGCGGGGTACCTTCTTTGTGGATCTTTGGAAGGCCATAAAATCTGGGTGGCCTAGCAGCCAAAGATTTTAGAGAGCGCTACTTGGACGAATTAATAAGTGGAATTAGTGATGATATTGTTGTTTTTTCTAGCTAGGCGGTTGGTGGGATCTCTGTTGATTTTGGTATAGCTGCCATCATTAAGGTCCTGAATTTTGTTGTTGTAAGTGGTTTTATCCATGATGGCAGTGGCATTGCCCTTGATGGCTGAGAGGATGACGATGCCATCTCTATTTTTTAATTGAGAGAGTTCAAAACGCTCGTCCTTGCTGATGTTGCCAATGGGTTTCTTAGCGTTTTTGAGGATAGCAGCGATATCAGATCTAGTAACGTCTGCCGGGATGTGTCCCAAGCCTTTGAGGCTACTGCCGAGGCCTATATAACCTCGTGCCACGGCTGATCTCTCGCCTACTTCAGCAGTTTTTTTCTTGCTGTGGTTGTCCCACCTGATGACGATTGCTTGTGTTGCAATTGAAACGTCGTGATCTATTATTTTTCTACCTACGT